AGGACACGAACAGTAGCCTGCACCAGGATGACAGCTACTTCGATTGACATGTACGCAATCACGATCAACTCGACATTTTAAATCAGTTAATACTGCAAAAATGAATGGAAAAAAGAACAAGGAAAACTCAGAAAATCAAATGTTGTAGTTAACTTGAAAATTCTTATTAAATAGTTTTTTTTCGCAACAGAATGTTTATTTCCTAGTTTGGGGGCACTTTATTTCATAGTGAAAGTAGTCATGAGGCCAAAAATTATTCACTTATTAAATACGACAGAGGACCTTTTGTATGAGTTAAGCAAACTTTAAAATCCTGAAACGAAAGGAATCGTTGCACAGAACAGCCGATTTCCGCAGGAATGCGACTTTCCCAAGTATCCGATTCAGCACATCATGATTTAGTTATTTTTTCATCTTAATCGTTCTCATAATTGTATTGTGCAATGTTTCCTGTGTGACAGAACGGATATAAGTTACTAGGATAGTAAGATTCATAATAATGGAGATTTGGGAGCATTTCTTCATTCGAGTTACACAACATTAGGCCACATCATTCCAAAATCACTACAAAGTATGCAAAATGTCTTTTCTTCTCTGTGCTTCCCGTCATTTCGTACTTAGGAAGAAAGAATATATCAGTGAAATTTCGTACACCACTCGCATATGAGTCATAAGCTGGTTTTTCCAAATTGTAGTTAATTCTTGTGGCCTATTCTCTATACATTAAAACTCATGTGTAAATTGTTACTCTGCGTAGTATGTAATAGATATCCAATCTAATTGGCGCATGAAACATTGATTTCTGATGCATAAATTACATTCTTTTTATCGCCTAATTTAACTATTCAGGAAGTCATGAATTCCATTTATCAGTCCAATCAGAAAACAGTTAGCTTTCCTAATTCGAAATTTACTATTGCTAGTACCCAGCGCAAATGAGTCTCAGGTCTAGCTGTCGACTTCAGAAATGTCACCGAAATTCAAAGTCAGAAACTATTTTGTGGTTGTTACACGTTTCCCTCAACAAAGTTTCGTAAGATTAATTTCATCAAATGTATCAATTTGGTCTGGTTTTGAAGCCGTAACTCATTACTTTAAGCACTGGGTTTTCATTTGTAGAGCCCTGGTTTAAAAATAGCTCCAATTACCAAATTTTCGCAGCTCACTTTCTAATACTGGTCATTTACATAAGATGTGGCTTATTATCTATGGAATGAATAGTAAATTAACAAAAGACGTTTACACAAAGAAAATCTTTCTGACGAAAAATTCTGCCAATTTTTATATTCTTATCAACAGTCAAAACGAAGTGTATTTTTCTGCTTAGCTTTTTGTGAGACTGATTTTAGCATTCATTTCAGCAAGCTAGATCGGAAACTTCAAAAATTCATTGAGTTTCCTCGCTTTCTCGGGAGTCTTAATACTGTCCAAACAAAAAATGAACATCACTGGGTAACGAAAAATTTAAAAGGAGAATTGAGTGAAGAAATTTTCCTCTCAATAATTTCGAGCTTCTGAAAAGTATTCACTGAGGAAATTTATTCACTGAATTGATTTCTGTGCATCTTTTTGCGCTGTAAATTTGTCTCCTTCACATTCCCACCTCGTTTCATTTCGTACTCCTGCTTATTGTGAATAAATTTTCAAACCTTATTTGCTATTGCTGCTAACAGTCCTATAGTCTCTAACTTCATTTCAGGGAAATATCACCTGCAGCTGAAATTTCATCGGATGTTATTGTAAACTCTAGTTCATCTTCAAACTCATATTGTCTTTATTAATAACACCACTATACATTGAGAATAATGTTACTTTTCTGGTTGGTTATTCGGTATACAAAATAACGCAAAGTTATGTAGAAATGCTGAATTCGACACTGCAGAAAAACAGCCTTCATTTGTGACACTTCTTCTTGCTAGTAATGTTGACATTTTGAATTTGTTGAGTGCAATATAATTTTCTGTCATTGCTTTACTTGGCATAAACTGAATATATGCAGGCAGAACAATTCCAACAAGATCAGGATTTTATTAATATGGAGTATGACTGAAGTCATGCTTATTTATCTCTTGCTGCTGTTAGTTCACATGAATGAATTATGTCCTAGAAAGGTAAACTGTAATGAATTCTTGTATCCCATATTACTTTTGATATTTTTTTTGCCAAAAACCTTGTGATAGAATCAATTGGTGAACTAAAGGAAATGTTTATAGTTTTCTCATTGGAAAAATCCTTTGAAAATACAGTTTGTTGCTCGTAATGAATGGCATAAAAGTTGTTTGCGAACGAAACTCACCCTCTTCTTACGAAACAGACAGAACTTTTTCTAAAATCTCCTGTTTCGGCTTATTTTTCTTCTCTGCTTCTGAACGGATCTCACTTTCGTAGTCATTGGCTATTCATGTGTAGTGTTTCCTCACGGAATTGTTGCTGAACACTGTCTTTCAGCTTCTCAGCTGCTTAGTAAATATCTATATGCATCTTTGAAAATTTTTACAAACTGTTCGATAAAGAGAAGTGCAATTTTCCTAATTTATCAAATAAGGAATAGTTGTCCACTATCCTTGTGCAATAAAAACTGTTCAGCTAGCTAGCTAATGAGAGTAAAACACTAAGTAAATTAAACATGATCAGAAAACCAATTTCAAGACAGGGAAGACTTCGCAAAAAGTAAAACGTTTACAAACATCCCTTGAGTTATCTATCTGCTTTACTTGAAAGGTCTTAAAACTAATTATCACATCTAGGCAAACAGCACTGTCATTATATTTCATAAAAGTTGTTGATGAATGATGGTAGATGTTGTTGGTAAACTATTATGGGTTTGAAATTACGGCCCATTTGATGAAAACATTTTTCACTTCTCGAGGTCTATTTTGAAAGAGAAGCAGGTTTTTTCAAAATTATTTGAAAAGCTTTATTTGCCTCATGATCGTTGCTACTCTTATCAATGTCATTAAATAAACAGAACATCAAGAAAAACTATCCCATCAATACGTCTGTAGAAGACTTTATTTAATAGAATGAACTATTGATTTTAACCTGTAACAATTGCGCTTTCTTTATCAGTTCCTTCGTATTTGAAGGATTAGCTTATTCAGCATAGGGATGAGAATTTACAGACTGTTGGATTAAATCTTGACACAAGCACAGCCCAATTTATGCAATGTAAAGTGCATCGAAGTGTTGCCGAGATTATCAAAGTGTAAAAGAAAGCACGTATCTCTAGTATTCACATTTCTGTCAGTCGTGGAAGCTTCTTGTGTTAAGAACCTTTTGCATTTTTAACACTTGATGAGATTCAGTGTAACGGAAAGAATACAGCTTTAAAGGCTTTGAAACTAAAGTTTGCAATATGAATGCTTCTTATTTCATAAAAAAGTATTTCTTATTCTGATGTTCTGATTTTATTCTTTCATTAAGTTCACACTTTTATGCATAATTGTACTTTCAGTTTAGGATCATTCAAAGGCTTTTTTTCAATTTTCGAAGATGACTGTGGATTGAATGATTGTGGTTAAACTTATATTTTATTTCACTGAAGTTGTAAGAATCACCTTTTCATATTCATTACTTCTTTTGACGAGTTTTTAACAATACTCAATTAGTGCTCTGTAAATCATCTTCAAATCATAGTCTGATGTAATTATATTGTTAATGTTTTTATTATTTTAGAACATTTGAGTTACGAAACACTGTATTAACTTCCGTTATCAGGAAACGGACGTTTCTGCTCAGAATCAATTTTGAACAGTATGCATAAATTTACAATACTCAGTATGCGTGGGTAATTTTCTGTCCTTGTGAAAAATATTCTATTCACAAAAAGAATGATGATGGAAGAAATGTCACTAAATATCATTATTATGCTCATGTTATTTATTCAGTGGACAGTGTCAGTTAAGAATGGGTGCAAGACCAACATAAGCCAACCTATTCATCTTACTGGGCAAACAGAAGTACATAATGTGTTTCACTAGCATTTAAAAAGGGATCCTTTGGTTTCAGAATTACATGATCAGTTTTATGCTTAGTATTTCTTATTCATCTCATAAATTCTTCAAAACTGTTCTTTGTAAAGTCACTTGTTTTACGTATAACCGTAAACACTGCTATGTTGGGTTTATGCATACAAAATTATTAAATCTCCAATCTGAACACAGCACTTACATGTTTTGCACGTAACGCGACCATTTTCACGAATAGCAACAAATCCTTTACGGCAAAAACATTCATTTTTCACTTGATTACAGACACTATTCTCCACCTGTCTAGAGCAAAATTCGGCATCATATTGACTGCAGGCTCCTGAATATACAAGATGATTATTGGTGTTTACACGTTTGAATACAATAGATATATAAATAATTAATTTAGTTAATATAATTACGAATTTCAATCTAATCATAAACGTGAAATCAGTGAAATATTTGTAATTATTGTGAAAGTGATAATCGTCTTCTTTATATGTATGTTACAATCTGCTGTGTGAATCGTCGTCATCCGTGGAAGCAGATGTTATGAAGAAAATATTTTCAGTTGTTAGCTAAGTGACTTATCTGACAAATGATTGGTCAGAGGAATAGCCAATGAGAAACATTATTCCTTTTAAAGTTAAATTTAGGAAGAATTTTTAAATATTTTGAGAAAATTCATGTATAATCATATTACTAAATTTTTTGTACGGCTTTTCCTGTTTTCAAAATCATAAATTACATGCTTTTCGAGGATACAATATGTTATCGTCTAAAGTTTTGCCGTAAGATGTAGAAGTCGGCATTTGTTATTTTCGATTATTGAATTTAACAAAGGATTCAATAAATAAATATGAATTATTTTAAACTTCTAGGGACTAAAATAAAAGACGGGAGAAAATATTGAGAATCAGTCGCCAGAAGAGTACTTTTTAGATTGATTACAGGACCTGTCACGATAAAAACTAATGAGGAAACATCACTAGACCAGTTTTAATTTAATCTCTCCCTTAGTAACTGAAAGAAGAAAACCTATGTTATTTACAGTCTTTCAGTCAGTTTAAATCCAAAGATTATCAAATACTCATGACGGTTAACGAATGAAAACTTCGTTTCAAATGCCACAGAGTATATCGCATGGATTGTGTTGCACGGTATGCTTCAGTTATGAATAACAGTACAGCTATGGATGAGAAGGTTTATTTTGGATTTATTTTCTTTCAGCTGCGAAAATTATGCCTTACTTTTGAAACACCATTTTTTCCCTACAGGTTTAGTGTTAATAAAGTGGCATTTGTTTGTAGACAGTTACAGCTTGCCTTACTGAGTGAAGTTAAGTTATTTTGTGACAACTTATGTAACACCATTATTTAAGCTTCTGACTAGTACTTGGTATGAAAGTATGACTCAATTCCACGATCGTGACGTTTGGTCTGTTTTGTATTCCTTTTGCAACGAGTAAACAATGTCTCTTATTTACTCCATATTAGCTTACTTGTTTCCTCATGTTTTATTATTTTTGGCAATAAATGCATTTTAATTAGCTTATTCTGTGTTTTCGGAACAAGAATGTTTAAGGATTAATTCACATTCGTTCAAAATGACAAGTGTTGATGAGTTAACCGAATCAATATCGTTAGCTGTTCACAAGTTCAAGACGTTTCTTTATGAATACTTACTGGAATGGTGTTTTCAGTATAATTTTAAATATGATAAATATAAAGCTAGTATGCAGTGATCAACAATTTCGTTAGAGTGATTAGTAGAATGGAAAAAGGCGAAACGGCCATTGTCGTAAAACAGACTACATTGTAAGAAATAGTTTATTCGCATTCTTATCATTTCTTGATGTTCACCAAAATGTATGTCCTTAGTGGAACTATCACTCAGTGTTTAGGGAACAAGACTTGAAAATAATTGTAAAACTTGGGCACTGTGGCAGAATGTAGCACGCAACGATGCACTATTACTTACTTCACCTCGTGCTATATCAAAAACATTAACCTAATATAAAATGTGAAACCGAAAATCCAATGTAACACTTCATCTTCTACACTATGAATTCATCCAATTTTTCTTTCTTCAGATGTAAAAGCAGTAGAGAAGGCTCACCCGGCCCACAGATTCCATAGAAACTAAAAGGTGATTCCCCCCCCAATATCACAGTTATCTACTACTGCATACTATGTAATACCAAGAGTAGTTCATTCCTCAAATTAAAAAACTAGTTACAAAATAAACTTGCTTATCATAAGTGTAGCTACTCAGGTAAGACTGGTGTTTTTCATACACCAAACATTGAATCCAATACTCTAAAGTAATTAAAGACTGAATGAAGAGTAATGTTAGCTGAAGATTTTTTTCAAACTAATGCTGATTGATTGCCTTAAATAAGACTTCATTCTAGAGTGGTATTGATCAAAAAAGCGTGGAAAATTAGCATCCTCTGTAGTACTGCAATGCATACTACTGTATTTTCGTTTTGCAAACCCGTTTTTCAGTTAAATCGCATTTCAAATTATGCTTGGCATTTCTTAGGACAGAGTTGTTTCATTAAGTGTTGTTCAGCTGGTCAGTCTTGAACATTTGTTGATGACTTCGTACTGAAATAACGGTTGCTACAACTGCAGACAATACGGTTTCTTGAAGTTAATTTTGTCAGTGCCATATGATGCACACCTGTTTTGTTCACTTAGTGGTTACTAGAAATAAATTACGCAAGAACTCTGATGTTTTAAGTAAAAGTGTATCACTACTCTCTGTATCAAACCAGAAAAAGTGATGTAAGACTTTATATGACATGGTTTATTATTGCGTTAAACTCGTTATGATACAAATATATAAACCACCAAGTAAATGATATAAATAAAAAAAATTATGTACATAATTTGTGTCAGTATCGATGTACTAGTTTATGTAGGCCGGACAAATATTCTCATTAATAGAATTGGGGTGATACATTATGGAAGTATTTTGCACACACATTTCATCGGACAAACTAGATCAAGGTTGGTAGTTAAAGTAAAAAGTCCCATAAATGTTTCGTTTATCCCTCACAGTTGAGGTCATATACATCTCTGGCAGCTGCCTTATCAACACTTATGTAAACTTGTACTCTAAATGTGCATTATCAATCTTTCTTTAACTTAACTCCTTTGAAAATCCGGGCCTAAATGTTCATAAATACGATAACCTGCTCTCAAGAAAATGCAATTTTCAAAGGGGAATGAGTTCATTTGACAATAGTGCAAGCCTGTTTTAATTTTCTTAACCTGTTTGTTAAGACATCATATCAAAATCCTAATAAATATTACAAAATAATAGAGATAGATAATACAAATTGGAGCATTTTTGCAGCACTGTATTTTCTTATGTATTCCCTGATGGCTACACAGTGTATTCATGAATTATTTGGAGTTAAGACTCAGTCAAGCAAGAACAACAGCTTGGCAATCATTCAAATTAATCAAATAACTAACAACTGTTTATTCACTGTGCACTGAATTCTGCAGGACATATTATTTGACGATCATTAGACAAAAGTAAAAATCCAAAAAGACTGTTTTATGCTTACCCAAAAAGAGGTAAGGATTCAAGTTTCTAAAAAAATATTTTCCAAGGACCTTATACATCTATAGATAGTAGCCTTTCAATATCAGCTCACTGGTAATTTAATTCTCCATGCCTTCTCCAAGAAGTAAGTTTCTCATGGCCGGATGTTAAACCAAAACACACTGAATTCCGTGCGAAAGTCTATTGTTAATTTGTCATCTATGCGTTGAAGTGAGGATTTTAAGTTCACTTTATAAGAGTCTTCCTGGATCATTTTGTTAGGGTCAATTATTAACTTTTTCTATAACTACCATGTGTTCAAGATGAACGGGGTATAGAATATAAAAACCAGCACATTGTAAAATGCTTGAGAAAATTTACTCTTGTAATCGTTGCGACCAAGCGAGATTGACACTATGCTAACGTATTTATGTGTTAAATAAGACCAAAGTAGAGTATTTACTGTGAACTTCGCAACAGAATGAGACAGCAGTCTTCAAACGTTTGTCATTTACCCCTTCATAAATGAACAAAAACTATTGGCTGAAAAGACTGCTTCTTTTTCTTTTGTTTTCACAATATCAGCCGTTTATATGTATGGTCAAGAGTAACAATGGTAAAATTTAGATTTTTTAAAAACTTTCCCAACTTAGCAGCAAAACGAAATGATGGAAGCTTACACTTCGATTTACAACAAATTCATTCGAAAAAGAACCCACTAGCTCTGAAACGCTCCTCGGGAAATGTCCACTGTACTTATTTGGCTCCTATTGTTTTATCAGGTTTGCCGACCACATAACTTAAAATTCTTAGCTTAGTCTGCATTGCTTAGGACTGCAAGTACCTAGTACTTCATGGGTGTTATATGGATTGGTTTTATTGGTTGCTCATACTTACTTTAACAGCTCACCTGTATAATTTTAGCAGACCTTTATTCTTCATTTATGTCACTTTTTTACTGACTTGTTTTGGATGCAGTTAACATTCATCGAAATAGCGATAACGAGATGAGTTTACTTGTTCACAGCTCAGAACAAGCAATTCTCAAGTGATTACTAAATAAAGGCTTCAGATCAGTTATCTGAATAGTTAATTGCTAGATTTTCGAAAGGATGTTTAACACTTAATTTAGTAAGATAGGGAAAAGGAAGCTAACGAGCTAGCTTTGCTATCATCATTACCTTAACACAAAATCTGAGTTCCTTAAACTCCTAAGGAAGATAAAGTTAACAAGTTAACAACTAAGAAATAACAAAGATTTACCGGTAAGGCATTCAGACAAGACTGAGGGGATAATTCCTACAGGTAGAACTATATATGTTGATAAAATAAAAACCCTAGTAACAGATTATAGGGAATTTTCTGAGTCTTTGGATGAGGACTGAACCATTTGTACGATCTCCAAATGATCCTTTGAAGAGTATTAAAAGTGAGTGAATAATTATTTAGGACATTAGTGAGTGCCTTATACTAACAGGATCCATAATTCCACTTATACACGGTCTTCTTAGATTTGTTTATTTTGAGGGATCCTATAATAATAGCCTTATCTTAGTAGATGACCTGGATTTAGTCTTTAAGGAGCAAAACATACTGCAGTTATTCCCATAACACTAGCAAATTCTCCAACTGCATAAACAATGGGCTGAAAGAGGTTATCAGTTTATGGTTCAAATGCTCAGGGGAAAATGACCCACTTCATATAGAAAAGAGTAACTGCTTAGGTGTACATTTAGTGTACAATTGACTTAGAGTGGCAGAATTGATAGGCATAATGTAAAC